TGTGTGTGTGTGTGTGTGTGTGTGTGTGTGTGTGTGTGTGTGTGTGTGTGTGTGTGTGTCACGTTGACGTCTACTACTACTACTACTACTATGATTATGGCAGCACGAAGGAGCAAGCTGTTTGCTATTTACACCCCTGAGACCACGACCATCCGGCACCTGTAAAAAAAAAAAGAAAGATGCTGAAAAGCTCTTCCCTCGACTACGCTTTGAGAGCTTTCCATGAAATAGCCACCGGCTGTGATACCCTCCAGGCAATCCACCACCACCACCTCCTCCACCCACTATTTCTCCTCCACCTTTTACTTGAAATCCCAGCACCGTCCTTCTTCGCGTATTCCTTTATTTCGTACCTCCTTCAAACCACCACCACCATCACCACATCTTTTTCTTTTTCTTTTCCTCCTCCTTCTTCTTCTTCTTGTCCGCGTTCTCTATTTGCGTTTTCTTTCACTAGTACTTTTTCTTACATACTTCTACTCTACCACGACATTTAATAATTTCTTTCTTTCTTTTTATTTTTACCTAAAAGAACATTTATTTTTTAAATATTCAATTTATCAACTAATCGCTCGTATACGGCTATTAGACTAAATTAAAATTTGCTAAATGTATATATAATAAACGTATGAATTTTTTAATTAACATCCCTTGCATTTATATTACTTTATATATATATATATATATATATATATATATTCATTTAACTTTATGGAACCATTGTAATATAATATAATAATTTAATATTTATTAAAAAATATTTCAACGAGTCATTATTAAAAATACTAATAAGCTAATTATATCATAATTTATATTTAAAATTGAATTTTTATTATAGTTTAATAACGAACTGTTGATAAATTTGGAATTAGAAAAGAAAAGATAGATAATTATAATACAATCAATCAAGTAATAATATATTAAATGATTATTAACCCTTTGAGTGCTGAATACTTTTACCTAAAATGTTTTGTGGGAACAGAAAAATTTATTATTAACCGGATTCTAATAATAAATTATATTTAATAATTAAAGTTTTTGTATCTCAATATAATTTAATTAATTATTATAAATATTAAATTACTTTACATAAATATTACCAAACACGTATATTCTTCGAACGATAAGATTATTAATTTTTACCAAACGCGTATATGCGTCTATAGCATTCAAAGGGTTAAATTTATATAATAAAATATTTCTCAATTTTGTATTTTCTTTTTCAGCTAGCGCAGACGTAGGTTTTGCTATCTACGACAGGTACGCAGCAGAACAAATCTACGCCGGTTTACCTGTCTCGTACGTTGCCCATTTAACCGGTGCCTTAGCAGGATTGACCATCGGTCTTCTGGTATTGAAAAATTTCGAACAAAGATTGCACGAGCAATTGTTATGGTGGGTGGCACTTGGGGTTTACGCGGCCTGCACAATATTCGCGGTCATGTACAATCTAATGCATCCGAATTATCCATGACGCGAGGTCAGCTTCGCTTACGGTCAACCAAGAAACACGTAACGCGAAGCTGATATTATCAATCCTTGGAAGAGAAAACGTAGAAAGAAAAGAAGGAAGAAGAAGAGGGAGATAATAATAATAACAAAGAAGAGGAGAAGAAGAAGAAGAAGAAAAAGAAGTAGAAAAAGAAGGAAAACAAGAAGAAAGAGGAAAAAGAGGAAGAAGAARAAAAATATTCCATGAATTGGAAGAATAAAAAGTGAAAATAATATCCTCGAAGAAAATATATTAAAAGGGAAAGCAGCAAAAGTGTTGTTTCCTCGTCATCTGGGATGACGATCTTGATACATGCTAAACGTCGTATACGTTTGTCAACTAAAAATCATCGAATAACGAGAAAAAGAAATGATGATTTAAAAAAAAAATTTATGAAAAAGAAAAACGGAAGATTACGGAAGCTTTTGTGTTATTCAGGGGGGGTTGGGATTGAAGGGGTTTGTGTTTCCGTTTGCAATCGTCGATGCGATTTCAATCTCTTCGTATTTTTCCTGCGTTAAACCAAAGAATAGAGTATATAATACCAATATACACACAGGGAAAATATATTTTTACAGAACGACAAAAAATAAGAAAATGAAGAAGATGATTAAGACGACGAGATGATGATAATAATGACGACGTATTTTTTCGTCAATTTACCAACAACAACATAAATGCGCGAAAACCAAAGAACCATAGTCTCAAATACCCTTACCCCAACCTTTCTACCATCCCCATCACCATTACCACCACTACCCTTACGCAGGAAAATTTGTCGAAAAGTTTGTTTATCCTTTGCATCGACTAATACTATCCTCGATTTTTGTTTTTTTCTCTCTCGTCTTCGTTCAACGAAAGAAGAAAAATAGAAACGCCGTCATTTTTTCTTACGACTGGCTCTCTTGTATATTCGAATGAAGAAAAAGAAGTTATTGAAGGGGGTGTTGTGTAGTAAGTATCGATCGTCGATCTTCGATGACGTATCGATAATTCACGCGTGTTTTGCTCGCTCGCTYGCATGCGTGCAAAGCATTCGTTCATTGTATACCAATGTAAATAGTCTTGTAAATAGTAAATAAAAAAAAAAACAAGAATAAAACTTGTGAAAGAAAGAGAAAAATTTAGAGATAACGAGAAGAACACAACCACAACGTAAGTTAAAAATAAGTTATTTAAAAAAATAAAAACAAAAAACGTCGTACGTGTAAAATGAGACAAAATTTTTTTCTTCAAGAATTTTAAGAATGCGAGAGCGAAAAGAATGAGAGAAAAAGTATCATTTATTGCGCGTTAATAATTAATAACAAAAAAGAGTGTGAGAAAGAAGAAAAAAAGGGAAAAAAAATATAAAAATAAAAGCGAAACTAACACACACACATACACACGCAAAACCAAAAAAAATTGTTTGGATAATAATTTTTCAAAGCGAATATAATTGATCGATGGATAACTACTTAAAAATATTTACTACAAGATATTATTTATAATTTTCTTTCGTTTCAATATTTCTCATCTTATTTTTTTGTCTTCCTTTCTTACTTTTTATTCTTTCTTTCTTTTTTTTTCTTCCTTCTACGATCTCACCCCACGTTCTTCGTTTTTTAAATATTTGTTTATTTTTTTAAAAACGACGTGGAAAGGATATGAAAGAAAATGGCACAATCGCGTTATTATTAAATTTCTTTCGTTTCGATAATACCCATACTGCCACACCATTTTCTACGTTTCTTTTATGTTTTTTTTTTTTTTACGTTTTTCTTTCTTTCATTCGTTCATTCGTTCGTTCGTTTGTTTGTTCGTTCATTCGTTTCAATAAAAAAAAGAAAAATTTCCTCGCGCGTAAATTCATGAAACACGTTACCAATTCATCGTATTGTATTATAATAATAATACTAATAATAATAATATTAATAATATGAATAATAATAACAATAATAATAATGATAATAATAATAATAATCGTATTCACGCGTAAGTATTCATGTTTGTTTGTCGTAATTAATTAATTAGTTCATTTGTATAGCAACACACACACACACACGTATAATTTATATAATATATATATATATGAGAAAGAAAAAAGCAAATACGAATTGTTGAATAATTTTCAAAGACTTATATACTATAATAGTAATTTCGGTTGGCATTTATACTTCCGTTGTTTGTATCCCACGAGAGATCTTCTTTACCTCTTCTTACCAGTATCAATCTTCTTTCTCTTCTTCTTCCCAACTATCTTACTCTCTCTCTTTCTCTCTTTCTCTCTCACTATACATAAAATAATCACAGCTCGATATTCTCATAAGAACAATTTTCTTTTCTTTCTCGGTAATGATTTAAATATCACGAATTTTATTTACGTATTATTTAAAACAACATGTACATTGTCTTCATAGTTAATAAGTATTTACGTTTATCAGGGTACAACTAGATTCAATGTTTTATTTTGCTTATTTATAAATCCGACAAAGTTACTTCTTTCATTTTTTAAAGAGATTATCACCAAAATAATATTTAATTTGTCCACTAGGTTAAAGAATTTCATCGTTAGATTCTAATCAATTAAATATCGTTCTAGTTTAATTAGTTTCTACGATACACACTCATCGCGTTGTTGACAAATATTTGTTTATTTGTTTGTTTGTTTGTTCCTGTCACACCGAACGAAACAAAGTTTTCTTTCTCTCTTTCTCTTTCTCTACCTTTAATTTCATTCTTTAATGTATTATACCGAAACACTTTACTTATTTATTTAAAAAGGTATACTATTTTCTTATTTAACTAACAAAATTATCAGAAGGTTTGAACAAAAGTAAAGAGAAAAGAGTAAGATTAAGGAAAGAAATGAAAATGAAAATGAAAATGAAATTGAAAGAAAGATAGCGAGATCAAAAACGAGAGTGATGAACGATGCTAGTCAATTAGTACCCACGAGAAAGCTACGTTGGGTTGTAGCTTAAGGTACACACACACACTGCTATATAACTAGCAGAAAACGTCGTGAAAAACGGTAAAGAGAAGAGAAAGAGAGAGAGAGAGAAATGCAGTGAAAAAGCGACTCGACTGTGAAAGGGTTGTGTAAGGAGAGAATGAAAAGAAAAAGATAAAAAATAGAAAGAAACTAGTAAGAGAGAGAGGGAGAGATAGATAGATAGATAAAGACAAAAACAAATGGTCGGTGACGAAGGTATCCACTTTAAATAACTACAATGTTCTATGTTACAATGCTAAGAGAAAAGAGTTACAGAGAAAAAGAGAGAGAGAGAGAGAGAATACTCTAGGATACTGAAAATTGCAGGGACGATGATACCATTGTCATGTTCTCAACTATGTTGCTACTGAGATACACCTATCCGATACTCGAATAATTAAATTCGCATGAGTCTTCGGTAAGAGAAGAGATGAGAAAAAGAACTGTGTGCTATACATCGAACTCCGTCGATTCATTTGAGGTCATCCTGACACTCCTTCACATTATCTGTCTCACTCTATCTTTATCTCTCTCTCTCTTATTCTCTTTCTATCTACCCTTTTATTTTCTCTTTTTTTTCTTTTGGTACTCTTTTCTTTCTCTTTCATCAATGAAATTTGATTCTCGATGCAGCTTTATTTTAACAAAGAAAAAAGTGAGAGAGAAAAAACACTGTAAATGATTAACAAACTTTGTTGTTTCTTATTCTACGTTTAATAAATGATATAGTACAATTTGAAATAGTACTATTATTTTATTTATTTTATGTTCTCGAATATGTTACATGCATCTAATGTAAAAATATGAGCCGTTATTTATATATTTATTTGACAAATTTATTATACGAATTTGATGATTAATTTTTCATTATGATTTTATGTTCAATCATTACATACAAAAAGGAGAATAAGAAGATACAAAACAAAAAAGAAAGAAAGAAAAACAAAAAATGTTAATAGCTCACATTCGTACGCTCTTTAATATATCCACCTTTCCCCACATTGAAATGAACTTTGGGTAGAATGATAATGATTGGAAAAAAAAATGTACCGATTCTTCTCTCTTTCTATATCATTTGCATGTTATTGAAAACCGGCGTTTACTGTTCTGCCGTTGGTTTCTGCTGCGCTAACGTGGTTGGTGTGTGCTCTCTTTGATATTTCATTTCATTTTATTTTAACCGATTTCATATTGTCCTGATATTCATTGATAAGTACTTTTTCTACGTACGTATAACAAAGCTATGTTATTATTTGTGTAAATGAATGAAAAAGAAAGAGAGAGAGAGAGAGAGAGAAAGAATAAAAAATTAAAATAAAATTAACGGTGGCTCGTTGTTTTACGTTCGCGATTATGTTTTTTATATCTTTCTATTGCATTTTTTTTCTTAAACATTAAAAAAAAAACAGTAAAAAATCGTCGTGAATGTAAACAACTTATTCATACTCGTTCGATATAAAACAAATATTATAGAATGGGGTGGGAAGAAGAAGAACAAATTTCATTGGCATAAAATGGTGAAAAAAAATAATTCTTTTCGAATTTTCGTTTATTATACCTCGTGTTCACGTTGTTCTAGTTACTTTCTGTTTATTTTTGTTTTTTACGTTTATTTATTTTCACACACGATATCAATGGGGTTCGAAGAAAGGGCATAGGGTTTTAAATTTTTATTTTAATTCCCCTCTTTTTGATATTTCATCGTAATCGTTACCACCAACCCCTACGTTCGAGTTTTAAGATTTGCATCGGTAAATAATCAATTCATCCTTTTCTATTCGTTTGTGCTTTTAAATTATCTATATATAATTTATCCCGTTAAATATCACACATTGCTCAGAACAAACCCCTATATTTCATTTAATTAACCCGATCATTGGGCAAAACTATCGTCGAAAAGAGAAACCGTGAAATGTATACATGTGTGTGTATGTCTGTATATGTCTATGTACTTTCTTTACCTACGTGTACAATTTTTATTCGTTCATTTCATTTTCTTCTTCTCTTTTTCGTTTTTATTCTTATTCCCTATTTCTTTTTATTTTTTTTTTACTTTTTTTCCCTTCGAATAAGAAAGAAGAGAGAAAGAAAGAAATAAAAAAAAAACAGGAAGATAATTCGAATCGATTCGCTTAATAATCC